ACCTATGTATTCTAATATCAATCTTAAAATTAATTAAACATACTCGATAACTTGAGGCTTTCTATTTAACAAAAGTGTGTTAACCTTGTTAAGGAGGTTGGATGAATCACGAGTTATTAGACATTATTGACGCGTGCATAATACGAATGATTAGATGAGTTTTTTTTTTAAACTCTATATATACAAAAAAATACAGTAGATGAACGATGTTCTTTTTTATATTTGGATTAATTAAACGAATTTAAGAAAACTATTTTTTAAAACTATTTTTAACGCGTGATAATTTTTATCAAAGCGTTCGCTTTTACAACCAATCATATGAATAAGAACTCTATGCGCACGTACCCGATTCCCGATTCCTGATCCTCCTCTCATTATTTAAATAATCAATCAATAGATATACAAGAAAAGTAAGTTTTTTTCAAATGGAAAACCTCTTCAAATATTTATTCAATTACGGTTAACAATCACCAGTGTTTCATGCTTAACATTATATGTGAAAAATACTTTTTTGCATAAAAGGTGTAAAAAGACATAAAAAAGAAGTAAGAGGATGTAGGAGTTTTATTTTTTTTTTTTTATTTTTTTTTTTTACAAAGAAAAATTTGATTCTAATTTACTAATTCGGAAAGGTTTTTTTTTGAAAAGTAGGTGATTTTGCATAAACCACCAAAAATATTCCACCAAAAAAAATTTATTTTAACGTATTCATTCGTAATCTTCATAATGTATTCATTTGTAATCTTCACAATGTATTCATTCGTAATCTTCATAATGTATACATTCATAATGTATATATTTCATATTACGTTCATTACGTTATTTATGGAAGCGGGTATGCAAAGATTGAAGTTGAATTTCCAAACATGGAGATTTTTAGAAAGTAAACTTTATTAATGTAATTTTTTTGAATAGGGATATAATCCTCAAAGTTACAATGAAAGAGAAAGACGAGAAAGTAAAGGATGAAAAAGATTGGTTCGTTAAAAATCAAAAATTATCAAGGTTCATCTCGAAGTTTTTATTTATTTATTTATTTAATCAAGATTAAACACTTCTTTATAGAAAAACTGTATAATTCTATCGATGCTTCGTGGCGTTTTACGCACGTATGTTAAATGCCTTTGGGTACCTTTAGATTTTAATTGGGGAGTATAGTTCAAGACATGATTAAACATGATCAAACGGAGAAATGATACGTCCCTGTGTATTAAGCGGCTAATTTCTTGGAACCAATTATGAAATACAAATTGTCCGCAGCAATGATTTCTTTTATTTAATGTTTGACAAGAAAAAAGCAGGGCATCAATTAACGGCTTCATTAACATTGAAGTTAATCCTAATTCATTAATTCGCATAAGAACTATTATAAAATATTAATCTCTGATATCGTTAATGATGGAAGAAGACATGTTTGGAAATTTTACGACGAAGAAACAATGAACATTGTTGATGATACGAAAAAATTCTATACAGTATATATGTACACATATAGATTATATATATATATATATCATATAGATTATATATATCATATATATACGTATAATCTATACGTACCGGTACTGTATGTATATATTTATTGTTAGATCGATTTACAAATAGGTCTAATTACTATTTGTAAATTTACTTATGCATTAAAAATGTTCAATGAAATTTGTAAAAGGCGAAAAAAGCGATTGTATAGTTCAACGAAATTTATGACACTTGTCTTTATGGAGAGGAAAATTATCAATGATTCATTCTAATAATATCTTCGACCACTGGTACAATGAAAATAATCGCATACATATATTTAGAGCTTAGACTCTTTATTTTATCGAGCTAAATAAGTCTAACAAAGAATACTTTATCGAGTATACTTCATATCATCAGGTACATGATCTACATGATCTTTGTAATTTTTTTTTCAAGCAAAGTCAACAAATGCCACACTTTATTTTTATTTTTTTTTTGCTCAGGCATATTGAGATTTCTTCAGGGATATGCTACCAATAAGGCATAATATATACATTCTTGTGTCATTCGGTAAGGTCATTCGTTGAGTATTATTATTACTATTATATCATTATTATCGCTATTCTCATGTATGTAATGTATTGTTTCCAGATCTCTGTATTCGCTATCTTCCTTACGAAAGTCGATAATCGATAATCATCCATACCCCCTTATAGAACCTTGTTAATTTGTACATAATAGATAAAGAACATGAAATGTATTTATACAAACACGTAATATGTTCTGCTTATTGACTTTTCATTCATGCTAAACATTAAAATTTTAAATATGTAAGGGTATTAATGGATCAAGAAAGACTTGTAATAACACGTCTAGGCGCAAATACTTTTTTTCATCCTTATAAACTATGTATTATATTTGGTAAAGGCGGTTATCATCAAATTCAAGATTCTTGATTCTCAATTGAATTGTTTATATAAAAAAAATATCTTTTATTTTTTAAACAAAGTCTTTTATATCGTTGTATTCTTTCTCTCTTCTTTTAATAGATCTAAATTAGAACTCTGTAAGTCGATATGTTTGGATATTAATATCACCTGTGATCTAATATTTACTATAAATCTACTATCGTCATCGTTATAATCTACTATTAACTATAAATCTACTATCGTCTCGTCATCGTTATCATCTACTATAAACTACTATAATATATAGTGTGATATAAATTATCCCTGTAATCTGTATCTTAACGCTATCATAAAGTGCGAATGAACGATAACAAAACCACTTACTCCAATAACAACCACAAGCAAGGGGGTACCTTCGTTACTCTTGGTTATTAAATCAGATGAATCTGTTTAAACATTGTCTGATAGATAAAGCTTTAAATGAATTTTTTTAGTAAAGTTTGTTTTTTTTTTTTAATCCATTGAATGAATAGATTTTTTTTTAAAAAACAAGTTCATTATTAAATTCATTATTATGTTCATTATTAAGTTTATTATTAAGTTCATTATTATAGTGAAGTTTTTTCTTTGATGTTCTTTGTAAAAAAAAAAAAAAAAAGGTTGTATTAGAATGTATACTCATAAAAAGTTTCTTAAACATCAAATCGCATCGAGTGTGATTGAGTAAAAATACTCATAAAAAGTTTAATAATGGATATCTAACAATTGATATTAAAAAAGTTAGAAGGTTAACGTGGTCAGAAAAAATCACATTTTAGATATCAACCATCTCTTTTTTTTTTTGAAAATGTAAGGAGTTTTTTCTCTTAAACTTATGCAAGGAGAGCATTTCGTTAGAAAACGAAAAAAAAAAAACTTTCTTTCTTATTACTTTATATTATTATCTTTTCACTTTTTATTCTTCATTTTTCTCAGGCACTGTATGAATTCGATTTTTTGCATAAATCATGTTCTCAAAGATTATGTTCGTAGGAGGTGCAGGAATACTCAGAATATTAACATGGGAAGAAACTTTAGTTAGTAATTAAATGTATTCTTACGTTATCGTTGTAACCCAAATTTCTACTTTGTTTTTCATGTGAAATAAATTTAACATAAAAATTTTTTAAATCATTTTAAATAAAACTAATATTAAAAGTTCGTTCTTTAAGGAGTTTCAAAAGTCAAAAATTTCCCTTAATAATTCTTCTCGGAGATATAACTTTAAATCTGATGCCTAAAACAGAATAGTTGTTTTAGTAAATAACATCTTGTGAAAGGGTCCCTAATTTGGTTTTGAATGGCTTAACAAATGTATTAGAGTCTTGTTTTTTCTTCGAGCCGACGACAATAAGATAAACATTTTTGAAAATAGATCTTGTCGTCTTTTTGATTATAAATCACAATAAAGTAAATATACAAATAACTTGGGTCAATAAGGTGAAACTACACTCTAAAAATTATTAATATTTGTTGATAATATTTTTTGTTTTTGAAACTTTGAAAAAAAAAAGTGAGGAAGAGAAAAGAGTTTTTTTTTACCGAAACACACTGTTCATTACATATCTTACTAATTCATCTAATTCATTAATGTTAAAAACTCGTGCGTTTACATTACGTATTACTCAATTAGTTTATTGTTTCAAAATCACTCGCTTCCTAAATTCACACTGTTTCATAATAATTAATTTTATATTCATAAATGGAATTTAAAATTCATATAAATGATTTGTTCTTTTTTTTTTCTTAATCTACTTTGATAATATAATTACCTTTCTTTCATTTTAAAATTTTTAACTGCAAAAACAATAATACATCCGGTGGAGACCTCAATAAAAATCTGAGAATAAAGAAAAAAAAATTTTCTTTCTAACTATTTTAAAAATCATAAATTAAATAATTCATTGAAATAGGTTGAATCATTTCATCATTGATCGATAATACTTTAGAATGGTTCATTTTTTTTTTTATTCCCTTCGAATTTGGAAGGACTCATCATCAAGTGAGGCCAAAAGTACATGAAATGTCACGTTAGACAATAAATTTAAGTAAAAAAAAATTTTGAAATAAAATAAATTATTTCTTTTATTTAGGAAATAATTCAAGCATAAAAACATAATGCATTTTCTTGGTTAAAAAAAGATGACTCGATAACAAAATGTGATACATTCTCTATTATCACTTTAGCGCATGAATGACAGGAAGCGTGAATGTTACTTTAAAAAAATATACACTATATATGTAACATAGCTTTTATAATAGCAATAATTAAATGTATATATATAATATATATAAAAAAAAAAATTAAATTTAATTATTATCGTAAATTGAAAAAACTAATTATAAAAAGACACCTTTTTGATACATACCCTCATAAATTTCAACAATTGATCGGTTTTTTTTTCACTCAAAGTTTTTGCTTTTTTTTTTTCTAATAAATAATAATAATAATAAACCGTTCACTTATTTTTTTTTATTTTTTTTTTTTAAAGAAAAAAAAAATCCTTGTTATTATCGTTTAATTAATAATTGTCATCGTTATTCATTACATTTTATTACAAATTATTACAATTACAATTTTATCCTTTCTACATAATGGATGAAGAGGCCAGGAAAAAATTTTGTCATCTCTTAATGTTTGATGGACCCGAACAAGGACAAGACGCGATTTCTACTAACGAAAATATTAATAACAATGGAATTGAAAATGATCCTCATCATTTTGGTTATCCTTATGATAACGGTTCTTCGTTTAATCCTAATCATACTCATAACATTCATAACATAATTGAACCATCCGTTCTTGATGTTTCCAATTCGTCCATGTCTCCTACCGATATGGATTCTTCAAATGTTCAATCTATTATTCCTGTTACTCGATCCATAAAACCTACAAAAACAAGAAAACCAAGAGCTAGAAAACCCAAAAGGACACCCAGGCCACCAAATGCATTTATCTTATATAGAAAGAATAAACAACCTGATGTTGTGGCTCAAAATAAAAATTTAACTAATGCTGAAGTTTCAAAAGTTATTTCTAAGATGTGGTGGAAAGAAACTGAAGAAGTAAGGTTTCAATGGGAAAAACTTGCAGATAGAATGAAACTCAAACATATGCAAGATCATCCAGATTATGTCTATCAGCCAAAGAAACCAGGAACAAAAAAACCGCGTAAATTAACAAAAGGTCGTGATTGTAATTCATCATCTTCGACAACAACTTTTTCAGCAATTCCAACTTCTGATAAAAATGTATCAATGACTGATGAAACAATGATTACAGCAATAGCAGAATCAGCTTTTGCTGAAAGTAAAACATCTATTCCATCATTTCTTTATCCGGTGACACCAAATTCACCTTCATCATCTTTTCCTTCACCTCCACTCTCTGAACGATCCTCAAATCAATCATCAGTTCATACACCATCTTCACCAATCATTGGACCACCAATTATTGGACAAAATATTGTTAATTCATCTATGAATTCAACTATGAATTCAACTATGAATTCAACTATGAATCAAAGAATACAGAATTCACATTCATTAGTATATTCACAACTTCCACCTACACCAACAGAAATTGCACAATATGAAATAACACCACAATATTTGTTACCACCAACCGAAAATTATGTAACTATTGATCCAATTCTATCTAGCGCACCAAACAATACATATGTACATATGCACCATTTTGGTACCATAGAAACCAATTCAAAGTCATTCTTTAATACATCTTCACATAATTTAGACACTTTTTTAGATCCTCAACCAGTAGATAAATTTCAATATATTGTTCAAGGATTTGAAACAGATTCAGTAGAAAATTATCCTAATGGAAATGGAGGAAATAATGGAAATGGAGGAAATGGAGGGACAGGTGCATTATTAGAAGAATTGTTTAGTAGTAATAATACAGTTACAACTACTAGTACAACACCTGATGATGATATGGACGCTTATTTTGAAGAACCTTGTTCGCCTCAAAATCATTTCCAAAACGTTCATTTTTCTAGGAGAAGTAGTTTTGCTAGTATGTGTTGATATATATATGTTGTATGTTCCAAATGTTCAAAATATTCAAAATGTTCAAAATATTCAAAATATTCAAAATATTCAAAATGTTCAAAATATTCAAAATGTTCAAAATGGTCAAAACAAAAAAAAAATTTTCATTCCCCAACAAATTTAACAATTTTATAAGAATCATTAAGTTTTTTTTTCGCGTTCTTTTTCGTGATTTACGTCACTCTTTCCTTTTTCTTTGATACTTTTGTTTAAAAAATAAAAAAAAATCCAAAAAAAAATCGAATTACCTTTTTTTCTCTTATATTCTTTGTAAATATTTTTTTCTTTGTTTCTCGAATTTTTTTTTTTTTCTTCACTTCACTCTACTCTACCTTACTTTTACCTTACATTACTTCACTCTCTCTAAGATTTTTTTTTAATACAACTTAATTCACAAGAACATTATAAACAGTAAACATTTACGGCTTTTAACAAAAAAAACGCAAATTTTAATAATAGACAAAAAACAAAAAAAAAACAAAAAATCTAAGCTAGGTTTTTTTCACAATACACAGGCATTTTTTTTTTCGTTTTATCATTTGATTTTTTTTTTTTCGTACCCTTTTATTTCTTCCTTATTCTTTTACATTCGGCGATCATTTTAGACAAAAATTTTTTTTTCTTTCTGATTTTTTTCCTTTTAAATTTCAAATAATTACTTGAACAATTAACCATCGTCAGAACTTTTAAAAAAATACTTTGATCGTTTTGTTGTAGTAAAATTTGTAACAACTTTTAACAACCTTTGTAACAACCTTGTAACAAACTTTTAAACAAACTTTAACAAACTTTTAACAACAACAATCTTGTAACAATTTTGTAACTGCGGTTTTTTTTTTCTAATAATGTATGCGTATAAAAAGAAACATCACATCCTATGTTGAATAAAATAGCGTGCACTTTTTGTCACTTTTTTTTTATTTAGAGTTTGATTATTACTTTATTATCATAACTTTATTTATCAAGGTAAAAAATAAACAAATCACTAATATCGATATTAGATAAATTAAGATATGAAAATTCTTTTTTGATTACGTACTCAAAATTTGTTGTCATTAGCAAATGACAAACAATAACAATCATATAAGAATATATGCGTTTTTTTTTTATTTATGAATAAGATCAATGAAATATATGCTAATATAGTTTTACTAAATTCGTGGGGTGGGAAATTCTTTTTTTTAAAAAAAAAGGAATCGTAAATATTAAAAAGAGGAATAGTTTTTATTAAAAGAGGAATAGTGAAATTAAAAAAAATGGCAGAGTAATATTAAAAATGAAATAATTTAATATTTAAAAATTATTAAAATTGGAATAGTAATTGATTGAAAAACATAACCCTGATTAATCAATATGAAAAGTCTTACCATATTGTCTCGAAATAACGCCCCATAAAAATTTTGGTCAGAATTGATCGTAATTCGGCCTAAATAACCTACACCTCAGGGGCGTAAAATTTTTTTTATAAATTTTTATTGGAAGAGTTTAAATTTTTTTTTTTTAATTTTAAAATGACATTTTGAAGTATAGTTTGATTAATTTAGTTTAACTAAATTCGATTTTCAGATTACGTGATCAATTTTAATCAAACAGAAAAAAAAACTTTTTTTTTATACTGAATAATGTAAACGTAGTTTAAAAAAAAATATATTCAAATAAAAAATTATTCAAATGAATATAGTTAAAAATATTCAAGGTTTTTTGACTTAGTGTCAATACAAGTAACTTTCGACATATGAAACTTTAATATAAGAAACTTTTAATATAAGAAACTTTTAATATAAGAAACTTTTAATATAAGAAACTTTTAATGTAAGAAACTTTTAATGTAAGAAACTTTTAATGTAAGAAACTTCTACTGTAATATAAGAAACTTTTTCGACATAAGTTCAAATTTTTGTACTAAAAAGTTTTCGATATAATCGGTACAAGAGTATGTATTGTAGAAATGATTCATGTACTATAAAGGGAAGTTATATGGTATTGAAGAAAGAGATGATACTATTCGTACTTACTTTCAAGTAAACATGTAAACAATACCTGAAAGCCACGTCCAGGTACATAGCAGTACATAGCAAAAATTGTACCTGAAGGGCGTAAAGAATAAAAATAGAATAACGCCTAAAGAATACTTGGAAAATCGATCAACGCTAGGTGATTAAATTGAGAAATTAACAATTGAAACTATTTTCAATCAATTTATTCAATTTATTCGGTGTTTATGAAATATTTTTTTTTTTGTGCAATAATCAAGTTCAAATTGACAACGCGTTAAAGTCCGAGCCAAATAAATACGGAAATACCGGAATAATTTCTTTTTTGATTGACATAAATATTAATAAATAAGATTTTTTTTTTACTCCTTTCAGGATTTACAGGGACACGATCATATTACATAAATAATAAAGTCTCCACTAATTTATTTAACGTTAGTGATACAGTAATATAACAAAGAAATTTTCTCTGACATTCTCCATCTATGGAATTGAATTAACCGGATATCGATCAGCAATATTATATAGAGATTGTCTGATAAATAGGTTCTAGGTCAAGGTTGCTAATTTAATAATTTTTGCGGTGATACTTAAACGATTTAATGAAGAAATTGTCACAAGCACAAAGTAAATAGTAATAAATAATGATACAGGGGATCTGATTTTTTTTTTCACACAAAATACACAAAGAAAAACTTTAATTAATGCACATGTAGCTTCTCATTTTTGAAACCAATTTAACTTAATTTAAAGTTTGTCCAGATCCATTTTTCACGTCGTAGATAGTTCCAGAATATTGGATTACAGAGTTAATATTACTGTAATAGATTAAATAATATATATTACCAAGTATCATATGCAATGTATCACGATTAGAGATGTTCCACCTACAGTACTATATGTACTGCACGCTACGTACTGTACGTACTGTATGTACTGTACGCTACGAACTGTACTGTATGTACTGTACGCGAAAATTTTTGCCGATCCTTTCTAAATCGCTAGATACGACTATACGGACTGTACGCGAAAAAAATCCGGGTATCATATAAATGGCATATCACTAATCACGGTCATCTTATCAAACAATCATGATATCATAATATCACACAGTTAACTATGAAATTTATTTATGCGATAAGAATTTTCTATAAAATCGGCAACAAGTATAATATAACCATCACATTTTTTATGATTAAATAATAATGTAATTAAAATCAATAAAATCGCATTTACACATAATGTCAAGAAAACTCATTTTGTATACATCTATCCGATGAAAAGGTTTCATCTAAAAAAAAATAAATAAATAATAATAAATTTGTGCGTGCAACATTTTTTTTAAACTTAGGTCGTATTATTTATGCGATCCTATTTTTATGATATTGTTAAAATTCAGTTTTAAAAATTTTTGATCACGAGCATTAATAGAAGCTTTAATAGCATACATTATTAAGCACGTGTAACCTAAACACCATGATCGATAGTTATATATATTTCTAACGAAATAGTGTAAACATTAGTTTCATAAATTCTTCAAAATTCGAATATTGATCCACGCAATGCAATTCTTTTCATTTTTTTTTTTTTATGCGTACCATTGTAAATATTGATAAATATATACAAATCAGTGTTATGACATATTTGTTATCTTAATGTTCCATGCAAACGTTATTAACGAATATATGAATTAAGGTTTTTATTGGAGTTATGAATATTAATTTACGTACATATAAGATTTACAAAGCTAATATTTGAAATTTGAGTAACTCACGTGTATGCATATGAAACAGGTCCGCATACGTAATTTTTATGCATATACACCCAACATGATTTATTAATAAATTTTATTAAGATGTTATTTATTAAAAAATTTATTAAGACGTTATCTTATTTAATAACTCATTTAACCCGTATCGGTATGACACAAAAAAAGTGTCTCAAAATATTCAAATAAAAAAAAAGTCTGATCCAAGAGTGAAAGGACTGTAATATTTACAAACTAATCCAAAATCAAATATTATGCAATACTATTTATAGTATGTGATGCAAATAAATATACTAATTTCACTGCGAATTGGGATACGTTTTAAACTATACGTATACGTACTATTATTAGCATATATGATTAGCATATATGATTAGCATATAATTAGCTTATATACGGATATATACGGACATAATTCTAATTATTCAATTTCATTAAAATTCGAATACTGGGATTTTATAAATGAAAAACCTTTTCTTTAACACATGAAAACATTAAAAATACTCTATTAATCAAATTACAGTAATTATTGTAATTACTGTATATACTGTATAAGTATATATATACGTAATAATTATACTCGATTGAATCGTAATTGAAAGTGGTTTATATTCTAAGAACATCTTTGTTTTCCTTTTTTGAGATAAAAACAATGAATCTCATAAATAGGCCGGTCTAGATCAATTCATATCAATATCCATGATAATGTAAGCCCAAATCCTCGGGATAATTATGATTAAACAACGCACATGGTTGATTTGCTTGGCACAGACCCCACCTTTAATCTCACCTTTATGTTAAAGATTGCCAATTACTGTATATGATGTTATATGTTACACGATGCTAATCCGTACTGGCCACGTTTTGGACTAAAAATGCGTAAATACCTGTTTACTAGCATGTATGGAATAGAATACTGTTATCTTTACTTAGATAACTTTGATAACTTTACATAGATAACTTTATATAGTAATAGATAATCGTTAATTATTATATTCTTAATTAATAAAAAGAAAACCCCCCATTAACTAAAATTATTTATTGGAAAGTTCTTTTGATTTCTTTGACCATGAACTATGAAACTATGTCTAAATAAGTTATCTTTATTTCATTTTTAACGCATATGTTTTTCTAAAGTGTATTCGCAGTATATTTGTCATATGTAATTAAATGGTTTAAACATTTTGATCACTGTTATACAAATAAAAATCAAT